CTCCAAGACAGATTTGTTCGTTCTTCTGGCAGTCTACGGTATATTCAATATTCTTTGCCAACACCATAATTCAAAGGCATCAATTCTTCTTTGGTCTTTCTTTTTCATTGTCAGCTTTTGCATGCATTATGAGGTGATTGAAAACACCTTGGCTTGGGTCAGGTGCGCCTTAGTCCTCAAGGTGACATCTTTGCTTTTTAACACTTTAAAGAGGTCTTTTGCAGCAGAATTGCCTAAAGCAATATGTCATTTGATTTCTTGACTGCTGCTTCCATGGGCATTGATTGTGGATCCAGGTAAAATTAAATCTTTGACAACTTCAATATTTTCTGTATATCACAATATTGCTTACTGGTTCAGTTGTGAGGATTTTTATTCTGTTTATGTTGAGGTGTAATCCATAGTGGAATATTATTCAGCAATAAAAAAGAAAATGAAGTACTGATAGATGCTACGATACCGATGACCTTTAAAAACATTACACTAAGTCAAAGAAGCCAGTCAAAAAAGACTACATGATTCCATTTATTCAAAATGTCCAGAGTAGGCATATTTATAGAAGCAGAAAGTAGACCAGTGGTTGTCTAAGGCTAGGGGAGATAACAGATTACAGCTAATGGGTGTAGGGTTTCTTTTTGAAGTGACGAAAATATTTTAAAATTGATTGTGGTGATGGTTACACATATCTGTGAATATACTAAAAGCCACTGAATTGTACACTTTAAATGGGTGAATTGTATGGTATGTGAATTATATCTCAATAAAGCTGTTAAAAAAAATACAAAGTCTTGCTATTGCCTATAAGGCCCTCCACTATGTGACCTCATCTCCCTCCAACCTGTCCTTGCTTACCCTGCACCAGTCACCTTGGTCTTCTTGATACCTTTCAGAGTCACCAAGTACATTCCCACCTCAGGGCCAGGACTATGGCTTATGGCTGAGCAGTTTGCGTACTGCACAAAAAACCCATGGCTGAGAGGGTGAGTGAGAACTGTAGCCTGGCCTTTTTCTTGTTCAGACTGGGCCCAATGGTCTGCACCCTCCCAGAGGGACCATCTTTTCTCAATTTTCACAAAGGTATATGTGCTAACCATGGCCATTGCTCAGGGTTCACACATACTATTCCCTCTACCCTTTCTATCCTCCTCTAGATATTCACAAAACTCACTCTTCACCATTTTATTCAGTTCTCTGTTCAGATGTCATCAGAGATGCCTTCCCTGACCACTCTATGGTCTTCCCTCAGCACTCCCTCAATCCCCAACACTCTCTAACCCCTCACCCTCTTTCATTTTTCTTCATAGAACCTACTACCACCTGATACATTACATACTGATTTATGCTTTGGTTTCTGCCTGTCTCCTTCCACTTGAATGTGAACAAGAGCTTTGTTTAGTCCATCACTGTATTTTCAGTGCCTAGAACAATGTCTAGCACCTAATAGGTGCTCAACAAACATTTCTTGAGTGAATGAGTAAATGAAATAAAATCAAATGGTCATCAAAGGCCATGGACCAGTCTAGGTAGATTCTAGGTAAACAGAAGGTGTGTATTTTAGTGGGCTGCAATGATTGTATAACCAAAGAAAAGTAGCAGAATGCTGGGTTTAACTCTCATTGGCTGAGATTATCCACACGGTACAAAAAAAACAAACGAAACTGTTGCCATCGAGTCGATTTCCTACTCATAGCAACCCTATAGAACAGACTAGAACTGCCCTGTAGGGTTTCCAAGGCTGTAAATCTTTACGGGCACAGGCTGCCACATCTTTCTCCCACGGAGCGGCTGGTGGGTTCGAACGGCTGACATTTTGGTTAGCAGCCAAGTGCTTAACCATTGCACCACCAGGGCTCCTTCATCCACAAGGTACCATTGATTAAAATGTAGACCTTAGTAGGGTGAGAGCCCAGTGCTGAGGGAGGGGACCCCTCACTGGCCTGGCGTCTTACCTCTTCTTTAGTGTAGTACTTCAGGAGACCTTCTTTCGACAGGAGGACAAACCTCCTTCTCAGGAACTGCGCGTTGTCCCTTCCCCGCTTCCACAGGAACCCTTCTCGGTTACCTTGGCCAACCAAGGATGAGAAAGAATGAACACTCACCACCTTAATTAAGGTGAACACACAGCTCACTAACCTCAGGGTCTCGGGGTGGAACACACCTTTCACCTGAGCCCAAATGCCTCAAATCTAACTTGGGTATTGCAGCCGTAGGACACAGGAGTCCCAACTGAGGCCAATTTTGTGGTGCCTGATCCTTTCAGTGGGGCTACCAACAGTTTGCAGAGCCTCTTTACCTTGTCTCTTCAGGGTATCAGGCTGCCGCATAGGCCCATAAGAAGCCTAAGTACTGAGGAACTGGGCTGATACTGAAAGAGGTCTAAAGATATAAGGTCCTGACTCAACTTCACTTTGACATGAACCAAATGAAACTTTCCAGAATTTAGGAACAGCAACTGACCTTCAGGCATCTGTTGGTTTGAAGGATAGTATGTGCTCCTGGTCCTTTTCACTAGCATGGAGAGTTGAGAACTGGCTGCCTCTGGACCTCAAGAAGGTCCCTAGGTGGCACAAATAGTTTGCTCTCGGCTACTAACCTAAAGGTTGGCAGTTTGAACCTACCCAGCTGTGCTGTGGACGAAAAGGCCTGGTGATCTGTTTCTGTAAAGATTACAGCCAAGAAAACTCTATGGAGCACAGTTCTACTCTGTAACACACGGGGTTGCCATGAGTTTGCATTGACTTGATGGCAACAGGTTTGAGTTGGGTTTTTTTGGGGGGAGGGGGTGGGGGAGCCTGAAAGAGTGGTTTTGTACACTTTGCTCTCTGGGCCAGTGTCAGCCTAGATTCAGAGAAGCTGGGCAGAAACTTCAACTAGTGAAGTTGTGCCCTGCACAGAAGCAGGAAAGGCGGCTGAAATCCAGCCCACACTCCTTACCAAGCCTTGTACCCGCCCAGGGGCTACAACAGCCAAGAGCAGGGATACCTTTTTCTAATTGGTCTGCCCAGCAGGGGAATCTTTCCGCAATTTGTAAAAAGGCCCTGCAAGGACCTGAGACAAATATACTTCTCTGCTGTTCAGACCATAAAACCCCGCCAACTAATGCATTGCTAATCTTTCCAGTGGCAGAGGAACCCACGTGTTGTCCTCTGTGGCCAGAGCAAGGGCTGGAGGCATCTCTTGGTTGGACTTTGCTCCTAATACTCAGGAACTTTGTTTTCTAGAGCTCATTAGAACATAGACTTTGAAAAATGAAGAAAATAACTTTACCTGGGGGTGGGATGGTTTTCCCATCAGCCATAAACTCCTGTCTCTCATACTTAGCTCGAATCCATTGTTCCTTTAAGACCCTTAACAGAGAGAACCTTTGGTCAGCTGTGTCTGCTGCATCTTCTTCCCAGTAGTAACTTTCCAAGACCCTTGTAGCTGAGGGTAGGGGCATCACAGCAGTTGCCCTACTGCCTGCTTAGGCTATCCAGGCCTTCTTAGCCTCAGAACTATTCACATTTGGAGCCAGATAATTCTTTCCTGTGGGGGACTGTCCTGTGCTTTGTAGGATGCTTAGCAACAAGCCTGGCCTCTACCCACTTGGTGCCAGTAGCACCACCCGTCTCAAATTGTGACAACCAAAAATGCCTTTAAACCTTGCCAAATATGCTCTGGGTGGGAGTGGAGGGCAAAAATTCCCCCAGTTTAGAACCACTAGTCATTCCAACCTCAACCTCAGCCTTGGGATCAATGAGGCAGGTACCGGCTCCCCTGGGCCATCTACATTGCCTCCTACCACGGCACGTTCATAAGCTTAAGCTGGAAGGTCGAAGCGCTTCTCTCCCTGTGGCTTGTTCATGAAATCTGGGCATGCTACACTGGACAGAGCTGTGGTCTTGGGGTCAAACCACCTTGTCCCATTCTACCACTTAGCAACTGTGTGACAGGAGCAAGTTACTTAACTCTCAACTTGGGTAATATGGCAATAATATTATACCTGCCTATTCATCAGGATTGTTGAGAGGTTAAAACGTATATAAAGGACCTATTGCCATGCTCAGCACATAGTAGGTGCTCAATGCTAACCCAAAGAGGATTAATCAGGAGCCTCTCTGGGACCAAGCTAGGAGGTATAAGCCTGGGACCTGGCAAAGCCTTGCTCCCAGCTGCATGAAGGAAGCTCAGCTGAGAAGGAAGCAGTGATAAGAACTAGAGAGAGTATGAAAGACCTGATGGTGTCTGAGCCCCTCACCTGGTCCTTCCTGAGTCTGGCTCCATAGCTGTCCCTCCTGTGGCCTGATCCCCAGAACCCATAAAATCTCCTTTTGCCTAAGCTAGGTTTAAACTGAGTTTCTGTCACTTACAATCAGAAGTCCTGACTGATGCATGGCCCTCACCCCCAGGATACTGAGGAGTCACTAACCTCCCCCAGGACAGTGGGGAGAACTCTGGGCCACAGGATTAGAGCTGGAAGAGAAAATGAAGGCCAAGGGCCATCAATCCTGGTCCTGAAAGTGAGAGTTTTAGAATTGGGAGGAGGAAAATGTTAATATTCAGTTAAAAGGGGTTAAAGTACAGGGCTATTGTTGGCACCACAGCAAGTCATGTCTGTGAAGTGCTGGCAGAAATTCTAGCACATAGTAGGTGCCCATTCCTCTTCCCTTGGAGCAAAGGGCTGAGTGGCAGCAGTGAGGCAAGAAGAGACGGGCCTACTCAAGTTGAGCCCGGCACATCCCGCTGCTGGGTCAGGGACCAGGCTCACGCTGAGGGCTGGATTCAAAGTAGTATTTATGAAAAGCCTACCATGTGTCTTGTGGCATGTGAGATGCTTTACATATATTATCTCATTTAATCTTTACAACCATGCTAGGATGCAGGTATCATTATCTGCATTTCTGAGATGAGAATGCCAAGGATCAGAGAGGTTTAGTAACTTGCCCACCATTTCACAGCTATGTAGTGGTAGAACCAGGAATCAAAATTGAGGTCTTCTGAGTAGAAAGCTTATAAGCCATTCCCCCCGTGAGGCTGTGTCTGCCTAGAGGGGTGCCTTTTCCCACATTTATGCGAGGTGCTATTCAGTGGCCCTGGTGAGGAGGCTGAGTCCCTGGGAGGAAGGCTCAGGCAGTAAGTCTGCAGAGGTTCGGCGGTCACTAGGGACCAGTGTCCCACTGACCCCTCACTTCCAGGGGACTTGAATCCCTGCTGCTTCATAGTCCCCCTGTTATACTGGATTCTTCCAATGACCCAGTCAGACAAGCTAGTCCCAGCTCTGCCTCTATAAGGCTCAGGTTTCTCATCTGTATCATGAGAATAATAACAGTACTTATCTCAAAGCGTTGTTGAGAGAATTAAACAAATTAATGCACATAAACGTTTAGCACAGGGCCCATCATGTAGGTAAAGCTCGATCAAAATTAGCATCTAGTATTATTTTTTTGGTTATTATTTAGGGAGCTAGGACGCAGGCAACTGCTTTGACACCAAGCTGAGTTTAGGTGGGACAGACCTAGGCACAGCTAGGAAGTAGCTCAAACATCCTTGTTCTACTAAAATACCCGTATTTCTCTCCTCTGTCAAGCTAGCCATGATCTGCAGGCAGGCAACGAGATCATCAGAGGCAGAGGGATGGATTACAGGGAGAAAACCCCATTTCTCAGCTGTGGAAACTGAAGCCCAGAGAATAGAAGTGAAACACCAAAGCAATAGCGATAGAGTAGGGCTTAAAGCAGGTCTCCTGTCCTCCCAAACTATGTGCTCTCCTTGATGGTAGCCAGTGCTTTCCTGGGTCACCCGCTGACCAAGTCCATAGAGGAAACCACCACAGACAGAGGCACTGAAGACAGGGTAGGGGCAGGAGTGGGGGACAAGGAAGACCCCCTCCCCCAGCCCCTAAATAATCATCTACTCACAAACAGTCATTGGCCTGAGGGATATAGTAGAAAGCAGGGACTCTGGCTTCATACTTGGCCTTCACACGGAGGTTCCCATTGCGGGTCATAAACTGCAAGACAACAGCAACTTGGGTAATATGAGAACTTCAAAAAATGTGAAATGAAACCACAGTCTACTAAGAAGGCTGTCGGTCCCACTGGCTCCTAGGCTGGGTCAGAAGGCACTGACCCCAGGAGGGAGACATCCCACCAGGCTTGGTCATCCATGCTGCTGGGAAGCCTCAGCCTGAAAACTGAAGCGCAATAGTAACCATGCCCCATCTAGGCACAGCACTTTACAGTTCTCACACATTAGCTCATTGGATCCTCTCCATCATTTTAATATTACTGCCCCGATTTTAGAGATGAGGAAACTGAGGCTCAGAGAGCTTAGATGACTTGCCCAAGGTAGCCCAGCTAGTAAGTGGCAGAACTGGGATTGGAACCCAGACCTGTCTGACTCCAAAGCCCATGTTCTTTCTTCCACCCCCTCCACATACAGCCAGGACCTCCAGCAGTAGTCTCTGCAAGTCTGCAGGAGACAGATGTAGCTGGAAGATGGAATCAGTGGGTGCTGGCTCCACAGAGTACATAGGTCAAGATGATGAGTGGAGCTCTCTGGCATCTGAGAGACAGCACTCAGCAACAGTGGTAGCATATCTGGGGTGAGGAAGGGGGAAGGAATACCAGGGTTTTAAGACACATTTCTCAGGCAGAGTGAACCCTACTTTCCCGCTCCCTAGGGGCCAGTGGACTGCATCAAGGGATTTGCATGGGTTTGGGATCCTAAGAGAGCAGCGTTCAAATCCACTCTCAGCCATTCATTCTCTGCATGATGCTTTGGGCAATACTTAACCCCCTGAGCTTCAGGGACCTGACTTGTAAAATGAAAAACATCACATCTACCTGGAAAAGGAGTTACATGATGCAAATAAACTTCAGGTTTATGTACTGGTTTGCTGGTTTCCTGTCTTTCTCCTGCGCTAGAATATAAGCTCCATATGGGAAGAGACCTTGTCTTGTTCATAGCTCTCTCCCGGTATACCCAGCACACAGCAGGCTTACAGTCACTATGTGTTGCATGAGTAAATAAGGAAAGCATCTAGCCCAATGGTGCTGAGCACAGTACTTGGCAAAGGCACTCTGTAAATGCCGGCCTGCTTCCCCAGTACACCCTCAGTGAACCAGCACGGTTTAAAACTGCCTGCTCACTGAAGATTTTTCTGGCCAAAATGGTATTATCATCCAGGCTGGAAATGTTTTCCATCCCCAGAGGTCACAAGCACAAAGCTGTCCCTTCCTGGCTGGGGGAAGTGGAGGGGAACCATAAACCATGAAACAGGATACTTCTGCTCCAGTCTAGGAACCTCCTCAATAATAAAATTTTGTGCCTACATTTCATCCTTATAGGAGTCCTGTCAAGGGGTGGTGGTATCCCCAAAACAGATGTGGAAATTGAGGGGCCACAACTAGAGTCAAGTAACACAGCTTGTGAGGGTTACAACAGCTTGTAAGTAAGCAAGTGATGGAGGCAGGATTTAAACTCAGGACCTCTGTCCACAGGGTCTCTGTTTAAACTACAGCTCTAATGTTATTGCCCCTCTCTGGGCCCCAGTTTCCTCCTCTTTAGAATGGGGGGTCCTGTTCACCCACTTCAGGCCAGCTCTGCTGTCCCAAGGCTCTGCATGCACACCCCTTTTTACCTCCACAGTGCTGTCCTCCCAGAAGTCAAGTCTCACGGATTTAACTTTGCTGATGTCTGGGAAGTTGCGGTGAATGCCAGAGCAGTTCAGACAAATGAAGATTCCCAGCTTGTAAGAGGCCCAGTCGGGATCTGTGGGGCGAAAGGGCAGGAGAGAAGCTTGGCAGAGAGAAAGGCAAGGAAACTAGGGCTGGGTGGGGCGCTGAGAGGGGCAGGGTCTGGCAGGGAAGACTCTTGAACTCTTCTCTCCTGGCCTCACTTGCCTTGGGCAAACTAAGCTACCAGCATGGACCCTTCTGGTCAACCTGCCGGGCCACAGCGGAGCGGCGACCGGGATAATGATCTCGGAGGGAGTCCAGGGGATGGGGGTGAGAGCTGAGGCGGACAGGACGTGGAAGTAACAGGACTCTGGAGGAACCGAAAGGAGGGGGACGAGGGAGGGGCCGGCCCGAGGCGCCTGTTCGGGAGCTGCAGGTGGGGAAGTCTGGGTTAGGGCCCCCTTGGCCTCAGCGGGGTCGGAGCGCTGGTGGAGAGGGTATGGGGGCAGGACCCATACTGTCGTCCGGGGGCGAGGGAGGGGGACAGGACGGTCAGGGGGCCTGGGTCTGCGGTCTGGGGTCCCTCCGTGTGTGGAATGTCTGAGGGTGGGAAGTGCCTGGCTCCAAAGTGAAGACCTCAGGGACCCGAGTCCAGGTGGGTACAGTGTCTGGCGGGGAGAGGAGCAGGATGGTCAAGGCGCCCGGGTCCAGACTGGGGAAGTCAGGGGTCCGGTCCGGGTGAGCGGCGTGTTGGATCCTGAGAGGACGGTCAGGGACCCGGGTCCGCGAGTCACAGTCTGGACGGGCGGGGGTCTGGGTCCAGAGCGGGCCAGAAGGGTCTGGTCGGCGGGAAGGAGTCTGGATGGCCGGGGGTCTCGCCCGCACCGGGCCCCCGGGGCCCGGCTGTCCTAGACGCCGCGCTCTTACCCGGCGCCCCGCAGTCGGCGCAGTGCGCGTTGCCGGTGCCCGCCGTCTGCAGCAGCTCCAGCAGCCGCTTCTTGTTGCGCTCTCGGTCGCTCATGGCCGGCCCGGCGGGCTCAGCGGGGCTCAGCCCAGCAGCCCCCTGGCCCGCGGCCGCCCATGGCCGGTGCGCTCGCCCGGGTAGGTGGGGAAGAATGGAGCCAGAGCGCCTCGTGCCCGACCCCAGCGGCCGCCTGCCCCGCCCCTCCAGAACTTTCCGCCCCTCCCTCGACCAGTCCGCCCCAAGTTCGCCGACTCTGCTCCTAGCTGAGGCGGGCAAGGAGTGCGGGGAATCCCACAGGGAACCCTATGGAGAAGGGCCGGAGCGCAGGACTTCGAGTCAGTCGCAATGACCCCGGATCAAATTCTGGCCCTCAGTTTTCTCCTCTATATAAAGGGAATAACGACGTATGTCTGTGTCTCAGAGCCTTTTTGAAAATTAAACAAGAGTTTACAGCTATAGAAGTCTACATCTGTTTAGAGACGTGTTGTTGTTATTGTTGGGTGCCTTCTAGTCGACTTCCACTCAAAGTGACCCCCTGTGACAGAGTAGAACTGTACCATAGGGTTTCCTAGGCTGTAATCTTTATGGGAGCAGATTGCCAAGTCTTCCTCCTGTGCAGCAGCTGGGTGCGTTTGAACCTCCCTTTGGGTTAGCAACCAAGCACTTGCTTAATACTTGTGCCGCCAGGGCTCCTTCGCTATGTTCAAATACCACCTCCTTAGGAAGCCCTCTTTCATACACCAGCCTCAAGTAATCTTTCTAGGCTCTGATCTCCTATTACACCGATATAGGATCAGCCCATCCCTTTTGGCCCTGAGCGGTTTCTGTACTCACCTTTCATCACAGTTGTTTATATTCTTGTGTTAACCCTTCCCCCAAACACACATCTGGCCACACTAGAGAGTTCAGATGTCAGCAGTTTTATTCCTGTGTCCCTCCCAGCTCCTGGAAACAGCACCTACGCATTTTTGGAAGCTCAATAAATACTTGCATGGCTGTGTGTACCAGGAAGTGTGTCTTCAACGTGGGCACCGCTGAGCACTTTAATTTGTGAATTTCCATCACTGCGAGGTGTGGACAGGGCCTAGGTGGTCTTGAATCTGGGCATTTCACCAATTCCTGTCTCCACTCCCATTCCCCATCCCTGTCACTCCCTGACATCATGCTCAGTGACCCACAGGGCTTCTGGTAAAGCACACACTTGCCATCTGCTCTGTAGGAAAACACCAATCTATCCATATGCATATGACTTAATGCACATGGACTTTGTTTCCATCCTCATGAAACATGGATTGCAGCTGACATTCCAATTGACCTCCCCATATCCCCAGTTCAACACACACACACAGCAGCATAGTGTCGTAGAATGAACCCAGGAACGCACTTTGAATTTTGGCTCCATAACTTCCTAGCCATGTGTCCTTGGGCAAGTTCCTTCACTTCTCTGAGCCTTGGCCTCCTCATCTGTAAAATGGGGATTGCCAGACCCACCTAATATGGTCATTGAGATGCGACGGGCGCAGCACATGGCACACAAAGTTCTCAAAAAAGTGGCTCCTTCACGCATTGCTGGAGGGTAGAATGGTGCAGGCACAGTTTAGTGGTTCCCCAGAAAGTTAAACATAGAATTACTGTATGATCAAGCAATTCCACTTCTAGGTATATATCCAAGAGACTTGAAAACAGGGACCCAAACAGATAGTGTACACCAATTCTAAATAGCCCAGAGATGGAGACAACTCAGTTGTCCATCAGCAGATAGATGGATAAACAAAACGTGGTATATACACAGAATATTATTTGTAAAAAAAAATGAAATTCTTAATATATGCTATAACATGGATGAATCTTGAAAACATTGTGCTGAGTGAAATAAGTCAGACATGGAAGGACAAATGTTGTATGATCCCATTTATAGGAAATATCTAGAATAGGCAAATACGTAGAAATAAAAGTTTATTAGTGGTTACCAGGGGCAGAAGGGCAGAGGGAGAGAGGGAGTTATGGCTGAAGGCGTACTGAATTTCTGCCTGGGGGGAATGTAAACCTCCGGAAAATGGATAGTGGTGATGGTAGACAACACAGGGAATGTAATTAATGTTGCTAAATTGTACATTTAAAAATTATTAGAATGGCAAAGTTTTTGTTATATATATTTTTTACCATAATAAAATTAAAACAAACACACACACAAAACTCGGTGACTTCCTTGCTTCCCCAGGCCTCTCTGATCGGCTTCGTGGGACCATCATTTGGAATGCTGCGTGTCATTTCCCATCTCCCCCAGGGTGGAGGAGGTCAAGCTGCCAGGCCTGGGGCAGGGGGGGCATTACTAAAAATAACTAGCCATGAGGGGTCTTGACTGGGGTAGTGAGGCTTAGGCCAGGAGCAGCCTCAGAGGAACAGGAGAAAGAGCCCAGCAGGGGTCAGAGGACTGCTTACTAAACAGGCTCAAAGATGATTCATTTCCACTGCTTTAGATGAAAGAGGGGGCAGAAATAAATCTCCCAGGAGAAAGATGGGAACAGCAACTTAAGGCGTGACGGGAGTGAGGTAGGAAAGAAGAGGGGACTGGACAGGGACATACTTTCTCCTCTGCCCAATGCAGGGAAAATTGTGATGCTGGAAGTGGTTCTTGGACCATCCTTCCCCAGTCTAGGCTCCTTTGTTCCTTGAGCAGCTCTCCTTGGGCATTGTCATTGTCAGCTCCCTGGAAGTCCCACAAAAACCCACACAAGGGGAAACGTAGCATCTCATTCACTTTAGGGAGCCAAAGATTGGGAGTTTCCCTTACTTTCTCCTCTTCCCTCCCTTTCTTCTGGAGGTTTCCATTTCAACAGGGATTCAAGCCTTAAGGTGCAATTTTACACATCCTGGGTGAGGGGCGGAAATGGTATTACGGTACTTTGTTTGTGATGTGTTTTCTCTTTCTTTTCCTTTTGCAGGAGCATTTAATGGGTTATACATTGTTGTTGTTGTTAGGTGCCATTGATTCCGTTCCCACTCTTAGTGACCCTGTGTACAACAGAACAAAACACTGTCTGACCTGTGCCATCCTCACAATCATTGCTGTTTGAGCCTATTGTTGCAGCCACTGTGTCAATCCATCTTGCCAAGGTTCTTCCTATTTTTCAATGACCCTCTACTTTACCAAGTATGATATCCTTCTCTAGGGGCTGATTCCTCCTGATAACATGTCCAAAGTACATGAGACGAAGTCTCGCCATCCTTGTATAAAAGGAGCATTCTGGTTGTACTTCTTCAAAGACCAGTTTGTTTGTTCTTCTGACAGTCCATTGTGTAGTCAGTATTCTTTGCCAACACCATAATTCAAATGCATCAATTCTTCTTCAGTTTTCCTTATTCATTGTCCAGCTTTTGCATGCATATGAGGTGACTGAAAATACCATGGCTTGGGTCAGGCGCACCTTAGTCTTCAAAGTGACATCTTTGCTTTTCAACACTTTAAAGACCTCTTTTGCAACAGATTTGCCCGATGCAATGCGCCGTTTGCTTTCTTGGCTGCTGCTTCCATGGACGTTGATTGTGGATCCAAGCAAAATTAAATCTTTGACAACTTAAATATTTTCTCCATTTATCATGATGTGGCTTGTTTGTCCAGTTGTGAGGATTTTTGTTTTCTTTTTGTTGAGGTGTGATCCGTACTGAAGGTTGCAGTCTTTGCTCTTCATCAGTAAGTGCTTCAAGTCCTCTTCGCTTTCAACAAGCAAGGTTGTGTCATTTACATGTCACAGGTTGTTAATGAGCCTTCCTGCAATCCCGATGCTGTGTTCTTCTTCATATAGTCTGGCTTCCTGGACTATTTGCTAAGCATACAGATTGAATAAGTGTGGTGAAAGGATACAACCCTCACACACACCTTTCCTAATTCTAAACCACGCGGTATCCCCTTGTTCGATCTGAATGACTGCCTCTTGGTCTATGTACAGGTTCCTCATGACCACAATTAAGTGTTCTGGGATTCCCATTCTTCACAATGTTATCCATAATTTGTCATGATCCACGTAGTCAAATGCCTTTGGATAGTCAATAAAACACAGATAAATATCCTCTTGGTATTCTCTGCTTTCAGCCAAGATCCACCTGACATCAGCAGTGATACACCTTGTTCCACGTCCTCAATCTGGCTTGAATTTCTGGCGGTTCCTTGTCGATGTAACCACTTTTGAATTATCTTCAGCAAAATTTTACTTGCATGTGATATTAATGATATTGTTCCATAATTTCCACATTCTGTTGGATCACCTGTCTTTGGAATGGGCACTAATATGGATCTTTTGCTGTTGGTCGGCCAGGTAGCTGTCTTTCAAATTTCTTGGCATAGACGAGTGAGCGCTTCCAGCATTATATCCGTTTGTTGCAACATCTTTATTGGTATTCTGTCAGTTCCTGGAGGATTGTTTTTTTCCAATGCCTTTAGTGCAGCTTGGACTTCTTCCTTCAGTACCATCAGCTCTTGAGCATATACTACCTCCTGAAATGGTTGAATGTCAACCGATTCTTTTTGGCACAGTGACGCTGTGTATTCCTTCCATCTTCTTTTGATGCTTCCTGTGAATTCAATGTTTTGCTCACAAAAATCCTTCCAAATTGCAACTTGAGGTTTGAATTTTTCTTTAGTTCTTTTAGCTTGAAAAATGTTGAGCATGTTCTTCTGTTTTGATTTTCTAACTTCAGGTCTTTGTACATTTCATTATAATACTTTACTTTGTCTTCTGGAGCTGCCCTTTGAAATCTTCTGTTCAACTCTTTTACTTCAACATTTCTTACATTAGCTTTAGCTAGTCTATGTTTAAGAGCAAGTTTCAGAGTCTCTTCTGACATCCACGTTGGTCTTTTCTTTCTTTCCTATCTTTTTAATGGCCTTTTGCTTTCTTCACGTATGATGTCCTTGATGTCATTCCACAACTCATCTTGTCTTTGGTCATTAATGTTCAATGTGTCAAATCTATTCTTGAGATGGTCTCTAAATTCAGGTGGGATATACTCAAGGTTGTACTTTGGCTCTCATGGACTTGTTTTAATTTTCTTCACCTTCAACTTGAACTTGTATATGAGCAATTGATGATCTGTTCCGCAGTCAACCCCTGGCCTTGTTCTGACTTATTCAATTTCAGACT